GGAATAAAGTTCCTTGCGTTAGAATAATATATATGTGTCGGCTGACGCACTTTTTCTTTATAAAGATAGCAGAAAATGATCATATAGTTTGACATCAGAAAAATCCAACAAAGAGGTTAAAATAAAGCTGAGTAAATATTTCTGTTCATTTGAATAATCTTTCTTTTTTTATATGTATTGTTGTATTGTCATGTTGTGATAATATTTCTATTTACTTTAAATTTTTTTACTTTTATATTGTGTTTTGTTGTACTGTCATATTTATATTATGTATAATACTGTTGCGATATTATCTTATTTATAAATTTACAGACTTTTATGCTGTCACACACATATACACATTTAGGTATAAATAATATATTCTCTTAAATTTATTATTGTACGTAAAGCAAAATATGAAACGCAAGCTGCATGCTTCATTTGTGAAAGAGGTCAGGAAGCGTCTTAAGACCGAAGAAGTAAGACAGACTTTGACACAAGTTAATGATGCATTAGAAATTTTTGAACTAGAAGGTCATAATCAACATTCATGTGATAATTCATCAATTCATTCAGAAGTAGAAGAGAATCGAAACAACTTTTGCAATAATAATGATGAATTAGATGAAGACAATGTTAGTTTTGAGCAAAATGTGGAGACTGATGTTGATTCAGATGAAGAATTTGTAATTAATCTTCAGGATCAGAATGATATTCAATTAACACAGAATTCTGATGAATATCTATTAAAATTTTGAAGAAATGGGCAATGAGAGGTGTTGCACATAGAAAAATTGATGAACTTCTTGTAGGACTACGATCCCTCCATAGTTTTTTACCAAAATCTCACAAAACTTACTGCAAACTCCACGCAAAGTTGAATTACAACGTAATGGTAAAGGTTTAATGTGGTATAAAGGCATTATTGCTAATTTAAATCAAAGAATTACCGATGATTACTTGCTTAAACATAAAGAAATTATTATTGACGTAACATTGATGGTTTGACATTATTTAAAAGCACTGATGATAACTTCTGGCCTATACTGGGTTGTCTTATAGGAGAAGCTACACCATTTATTATAGGTGTGTGGCGTGGTGTTGGAAAGCCAGACAATCTTGATGCTTTTTTAGCAGATTTTATTCATGAAGTTGATGAATTAGCCCTAAATGGTTATGACTTCTATGGCAACCGCTATTCCTTTAAAATTAGAAATTACAATACATACTTGATGCTGTAGCACGACAATATGTAAAATGTATTTCAAGCCACAACAGTATCTATGCATGTGAAAAGTGCACAGTAAAAGGTGCACGTTTTAGAAATCGTCTTACCTTTCTGAATCTCAATGCATCATTGCGTACGGATGAATCTTATCGAAGAAGAGATCAGCCTAGTCACCATAATGGAGTATCGCCTCTAGAAAATATGGCAAGTGACAACAGTGGAATGGTTTCAAAGTTTCGTTTAGATCCAATGCATCTGTTATTTGAAGGGGCTTTTAAGAGATGGGTTCTGTATCTTTGTGGATATCAAGCTATCACATATGGTAAAATTTCAAGACTAACACGTTTGAGCTTATGCTCTGATATATTGACATTGCTTCTTGGATTCCCATGAAATTCAACCGTAGACCAAGATCTTTATATTATAAAGCCAAGTTTAAAGCAACTGAGTGGAGAGGTATTCTTCTGTATGATGGAGTGCGCATTTTTCGATACAGACTTCATGAAAACACTTACAAAAACTTTTTATTAATTCATTCTGCATCTTACATTCTCTCATCTCCTGAATTTGTCAAAAGCAATTATTGGATTTTTATTGCTGATAATATATATCGTGAGTTTATCAGGCATTCCACAGATATTTTTGATAAATCATATGTGGTATACAATATACATTGTCTTTGTCACATGGCTACTGAATGCCAGAAAAATGGTACGTTATTGGATTTCAGTGCTTTTAAATACGAGTCTTTTATGGCTGTAATTAAACATCACTTGCGTTTAACTGATAAGCCTCTCCAGCAGTTAGTTAATAGGGATTTTGAGACAAGAAGGCAACTTGCTGCATAGTCAAAGAGACCAAATCTGAATAAAGTTACATTAAAAAAACAATTGCATAGAAATATTGTTCCAGAAATTCCTGGTGATCGCTATGCACAAATATATTTAAAGGATATAACTCTTTCGACTAATAAAGCTAATTGCTGTTTCTCAACAAAAGATGGGAACATACTTATCTTAACCGAAGTTATAGCTTCACCAAATGGCGATATATTATTAGCAGGGCATAAGTTTCTTTGCAAAGTAGATTATTATGACTACCCATTTCCTTCCTCATTCATTGGAATTTTTAAAGTGTCACATATAGATTCTGTAAAAACCATATACAAACTGCAGGATTTTTTTCAAAAATGTGTTATTTTACCCGATGAAGATAGTTTTCTTTGCATTCCTCTCCTTCACAATGGTCCTCAGTAAATTTTTGGTGGTGATATCTTATTGGTCATTTATGTCATTACTTTATTTGTTTTTTTGATGTAAACTTCAAATTTATTTTTTTACAGTATTCTGTCATAGAGTTTGTGCCTCAAGCTGAAAGTGATGAAGAAGAAATCCTTGTAGAAGTTGTACCAACCAAGTGGATTAGCGAGGACAGACAGTTTTGTTATTATCCGCCACGTTTCATGAAGGGGAAATGTATGAAGATGGTGATGAGTCTGGTGGATTATGATTCATCCACATGGGAACTGCTGCCCATTATATTTCATCATATTATTGTAAGTTTTTATCTTTTTTTTTACAGTGCAAGACTATATCTTCGTAATTTAATCTTGTCTTGTGGTTTTTGCATACAGCCACTTTCAATGTTGCCCGAAAAGCTAGAAATAAAGCTGTTAAAGAGGACACAATTGTTGCAACAGATGTTGAGACAGACTACAATCAACCACGCAAGAGAAAGCCGCCTGAACATCTAACATTTTCATCAGATTCTGAGTCAGTTGAAGAATCAAAAAAGAAGAAACTTAATATTCCAAAACACAATATTCCAAAACCTAGTTCAATTCTGTCTTCAAAGCTCAAGGAATTATTTGAGAGTAGCAAAGCCAAGAATTCAGCTAAGTCTACAATAAATGATATTTTGCTAATTCAAATCTTTCATCTACATCATCAAAGAAAAATACAACTCTTGTTCGTCGATTATCGCAGGAAAAGTCTACACAATCTGGTTTGTATTTCTAATTACTGGAATTTTATTGCAGCATTTAATAGTAGTAGACTATCCTTATATGCTCTTGTACTTTTATTTTTCAGAATCTATTAATAAAGAAAACTTGTCTGACAATGAAATGTCATCAACTTTGAGATCTCCAAATTCTTCTTACAATTTTGATTTATCTGAAAAGGCTTCCACTTTTGAGCAATCTCCAGAATCTCAAGATATACTTACAAAATCTGATTACGATAGTGTGAGACAAATAAATAAAAAAAAATTCTCGAAACAGATCTACATCATTAAAAAGGTTTTTAGAAGGTATTTTTATTGATTACCTTATTATTATGATAAAAAATAATTAATTAATTCTGAATTGAACATTTTATTATTGATAGGTTCACAGTCTTCACCAGAACTAGCTAGCAGTAAGTTATATTCTCTACTTTATTTTTATAATGAAAGAATAAAAATTGTTTTCATTGGCAAGTGATCATTTCTACATATACAATAATTTTATATTCTACATATACAATAATTTATCCTGTAAGCCTTAAATTTAATCCATTATATTCGATTATTCTTCTGACATTTAACTATATGATTAGTTTATTTTTTACAATTTACGGCTTTAGGTATTGACAGCCATAAATCAGGTTTAAGGTTTATTATACCTGTTATAGAATCGAACTTTTATAGTAATTTGTCAATAATATAAAAAAGTCATCATTGTCAATAACATTAGTAACTCTCATTATATTAATTAATAATTTGAGTAAAAATAGTCGGTTCCAAAAACTATCACTTGCCAATGAAAACAATTTTTATTATTCGTAAAAGATTAATTATAATCACAGAATGTGTGAGAGAAATAATCGAATATGATTATACATATAATTAATTTCTTATGATTTAAAAGTCTGGAAGTTTCTACATATACAATATTATTATTATTGTATATGTAAAAACTTTCAGACTGTTCGTGGGACGCCACGTACTCAAGTAAAAAGGATTTATTGGATGGTTTTATTTTGGCACAAAAAATGAGTAAATTTACCGGGTTCGTAATCGCGGATTACTCGCTCGTTAACGTTCGGGTCTCTTGGACGACTGACTCGTCGGAGCGCTTAGGCATTTCACCCAAAAACGGGGCAAGCGTGCCTCGCAGGGAAGATCACGACGTGCTCACGCTTGAGAGTCGCATGGTATCACGCGCCCATCATGCCGAATAACAGTTCGGACGGACTCCGAACATTCCGCCGCCTCCGTCGTCCTCGACGGAAGAAGTGGCCACTGGTCTGCTGAACTCAAGGTGTCTTCCCCTTGTCGTCCTCGGTGGGCAGCCTCACCAATTTGACCAGAAGCCTCGTGAGGGTGGAATCCGCGGTGCGGACCTGTGCAACTTTCACGCGACCGTCTGGTCCGGGGTGTAGCGCTAAAATCCGCGCCATCATCCAGCGCGACGGTGGGAGTCGCTCGTCCCGGACGACGACGAGCTCGCCGACTCGGGGAGCCTCGGTCTCCTTGGTCCATTTTCCTCTCGCCTGGAGGGTATGTAGGTAGTCTCGCGACCAACGAGACCACAGGTGCTCGGTCAACTGCTGGAGTAACTGCCATCTGGAGAGTCGTCTCTCGTTGACACCCTCCAGGCTCGGTTCCGGAACGCTGACCAGCGGCCTGCCGATCAGGAAATGTCCCGGAGTCAACGCGCTGAGGTCGTCCGGATCGTCCGATATGGCGTGTAGAGGCCTCGAATTGAGACACGCCTCGACTCGTGCCAAGAAGGTGCCAAGCTCCTCGAATGTTAGGGTGTGTTCCCCGACGACTCGGCGGAGGTGGTGTTTGACCGATTTGACCCCGGCTTCCAGATCCCGCCAAAGTGGGGCGTCGCCGGCGGTTGAAATCGCCATTCCGTGCCGTCGTTCGCCAGTGCTTCCGCGATGGGGCCTCCTTCTGCACCAGCGGCCTTGAGGGCCGTCCGCAGTTCCCGATCGGCTCCAACGAATGTCGTGCCCTGATCACTGTATACGACGGCCGGTACGCCGCGTCTGGCGGCGAAGCGATGGAACGCCGCAAGGAAGGCCGAGGTCGAATAGTCGCTCACCAGCTCTAGGTGCATCGCGCGGGTCACAAAGCACACGAAAACCGCGATGTACCCCTTGCAACTGCGATGTCCTCGCCCCTTGGTCGTCCGCACGCCGATAGGACCAGCATAGTCGACCCCGCACGTGGAGAACGGGGGAGCCGGCGTCACCCTGGTCGCCGGCAAGGGCGCCATGAGAGGCTGGAACGGGGCGGCCCTATGCCGCACGCACGTAACACAGCGATGAAGAATGCCACGGACCAGGCTGCGACCCGCCGGTATCCAGAAGTTCCTCCGCAGGTTCGCCAAGGTCATCTGAACCCCGCCGTGGTAAACCCTCAGATGTGCGTTCCTCACCAAGAGTTCTGTAAGACGATCGAATCTCGGCAGTATAACTGGATGGTTCTCCTCCTGCAACTGACGTGAATGTCACTTGCCAATGAAACAATTTTTATTATTCGTAAAAGATTAATTATAATCACAGAATGTGTGAGAGAAATAATCGAATATGATTATACATATAATTAATTTCTTATGATTTAAAAGTCTGGAAGTTTCTACATATACAATATTATTATTATTGTATATGTAAAAACTTTCAGACTTTTAAATCATAAGAAATTAATTATATGTATAATCATATTCGATTATTTCTCTCACACATTCTGTGATTATAATTAATCTCTTACGGATTAAATATTATATTTATTATAGATAATATAGATTTGACTAAAAACTGTCATTTGATTAATGTGGTTTTCTGACAGGTAAACCTCAAGATCAATTAATCCTGAATTACATGCAAGAATTGTCAACGAAGATAGATTGGCTGCACATTAAGATTTCTCAAACTTTGAACGAATTGTTCCCCAATAATGACGCTTTTGATCAGCCTGAAGGATTTCCCTCCTTGCCATTGGAAACTGAGGAATCTTTTGTAAACTTTGATGAACAATTAAATAATAAAGTATTATATGGTCAAATGGTGAGTATTTTAACTAAGGCACTATAAAAGAAGATATTCTCACGTCCGCCATTTTTTTTCCAACTAGGAGGAAATTAACCAATCACAAAATTATTTTTCTCTAAATTCAATTGTGATTAGTTAATTTCTTCCTAGTTGGAAAGAAAAATGGCGGACGTGAGAATACCTTCTTTTATAGTGCCTTATTTTAATCACTGTTAATTCAAATATGTATATCTTTATTAAATATTTAAACTGGCTTTATGTTATAGCTCAATTACCTGTTACAAAAGGAAAGGAAGAAACAACCTCTATTTACACTTATTCTATTTTGTCGACTCTACTTAGGAACAACGTAGCACGACTCATTAGTTGGAAAGGTTCTGGAGGAGTCAAGCTCAGTTTTCAAAATCCAAAGTGAAAAATCTAATAGAAGGTGAATATCATCTTGTTTTTTAAAATTTATTTTCAAATTTATTAAATATATATATATATATATATATATATTCATTAATGAACAAATATATTATATTAGAAATATATATTTAAAGTTAAATTATTGTTTGCTGATTAGAATATTAAATTACTCCTGCTTTATTGTTTTTTTTTTAATTATAGGTGTTTGTTTCAAGAAGTTTCCTAAGGTGCAGGTTTCCGTATTTGAAGACCATATAAAACGATGGTTTAACACTTCTATGCAGCGATCAGACTAATTGGATCTTTTGATGGGGATTAATTGTATTCCGACTTTAACACATAAATTCTACTTTTTTTTATTTGTCACTTTTTGTCTTAGTTTAAATAAGGTAAATAAAGTTAATTTATTTTTATTTTTTAGTTCTATAAAATATATATATTTATCTTTGTTATGTCTTTAAAATTTTTATTCTTCATTAAAAAAGATAGTATATTATTATATATAATATTTCTATAATAATATTAATTTTGTAAAGTTATAATATTTGTTATTTAAAAAAAAGTAATATTTCTTTTAATTTATAGAAGAGCTTTTCTATATTTAATTTTTTTTAGTTAAAGACTTCTCTTTATAATATTAAATGTTTAGATGCAAAATATTTTTAAGTTAACAAAGACACTACAATAAAAAGTAATTTTAACTTATTTCTACATTGTTCTTTCTTTATCTTCTACTTGTGAAACTGCTTTAAAGGAGATTCACACCTAGACAGAAAGCAGAAAACAGCAAAGCATTAATAAGCTAATATATTATAACTCGCGCTGATAGTAAGTAGTAACCGAAGAATTTTTCTGTTGTATTATGTTTACTACCAGTCCGAGTTTTGATTGGCTAATGCTTTCCTGTTTTCTGCTTTTCTGCCTAGGTGTGAATTCTCCCTTATTCAATGCACTGAATATAAAAACAGGTCAAAATAATGTCAAAATATAGTCACTTTTTTCCCTGTTTGACGTCATTGTGATTTTCGCCATTTAACTTCATTTTGACGTCATTTTGACATTATCGTGACTTTTTGTTCTCCTTGGGTTAAAATATCTTATTTTTGCTTTAAAATTTAATTACAGTAATTAAAATTTTATGTAAAAAATTAAATATTAATTTGTACTTAAATGAATTACATTTGGAATAAAATCTTAAATATTTTCATTATTAAGTTTGCTTGGAAACACAATGATAAAAGAAGAATTTGTATACCTGAACTCTTCGCTGTCTGAACTCAATTATTCAATATGAAGAAAAACTTGAATAAAATCGCTAAGACTGGACCACAAGGACTTTGCATGTGTGACATTCTCAATATGTACAGCAACTTGTTTGTTCTTCATATTTAAATTTGCTTCCTAAAAATATACAAAGATTAAATTATATAGCATTACTCAATAATGTAACGGAGTAATGTATTTTGCTACAAGTTCGAGGTTACTTGTAAACAGATGGCAAAATAATAATTAATTTAGGCATTTAATGCAAAAAAATGTAATGATATAATAGCCGATTAAACTTAATGTGTATTCGCATATCATCGTTGTATTTAATGTAGACAGAAAACATACACCATTGCATATCAAATTTTTGATCTGTCTACAGTAGTCTACATTAAGATGCAACGACGATATACAGATACACATTAAGTTGATTTTGTCATTATATATCATTACATCTTTTTTGCATAAATGCTTAAATAAATTCTTAATTTGCCATGTTCTTACAATTAACCTCAAACTTGCAGAATATTTTGTGTCACACATATTATATTATAATAAAATGTTATAAAAATATTTTTCATAATGCTTTATATATTTTTAAAAAAAGAGTTTACATACAAAATAAAAGAGATTACCTTATTTAATCAAAATTACGCTTTCGTTCTCCTCGCCCGTCGTCCATGCGGTCGTCCGTCGCCCGTCGGCAGCAAAAATAATAGAGAATGTTCGGCTTGGAACCGCGGAATATACAAATACATTTAGAAAGCGTAATCCCGCGTAATTAAAATTATATAACACTAGTTCTTTAATTATAATAAAATAATATATACAGTATTATTATTTTTATAATTTAATTTAATATATATCTATTAAACATCTTTTAAAAATTTGTTTAAGATGTCTTTAACATGTGATGTATAATAGATATCTTTTAAAATTACATTAAAGACATCTTTTAAAAGAAATTATTTAGATATCTTTAATATGTATATTACATAATATGTTAAAGATATCATTTAAAATGTCTTCTCAGATATTTAAAGGTATCTTTTAGAAATTCTACAAAGAAATCTTGAATAAAGTATTTTTAGACATCTTTTAGATATCTTCTGGATATCTTTTAGAAATATCTTGAATATTTCTTTAATGAGATATCTTTTAGATTTCTACAAGATTTCGATGTTTACTGGGTTGTTATTACTTCCTGAATAGGAGTAAATATTTCTTTTAAATGTGACTGAGATGATGATAAATGTGCGCTTACTGCTTTAACTATATTGGATTTATTATATAAAGTGTTCTTCACAATTGTAGGAAGCCTAGAAATATCTTTGCATTCATATTAGTTGCATGTATTGTTGATTCTCTCTCTTCATCAGAAGATTCAGACGATGTTGTTTTATACTTTTGGTTTTGTCCTATTACTTTTTCCAATAATATTTTCATTGTCATCTGTCGCGATATCAGATGTCCATTCATATTTTTCCAACTTTTCTTTTGATTTTTCAAAATTGTCTGAAAATATAGAATAAGAAACCAAGAATTTTATAACCTAATTTTTAAACAGAATGTTATATTGATCTTACCAGTTGTAAAAAGAACTTTTTTATTTATATATTTGCCACTTTTCTGTCGGTGTTTCTTTCTTTTTTAGTAATTTATTATAACTGTCCTGTGTTTTAACAGGTGGCTAAAGTACTTCTTGTTTTCGTGGTGTGAGCCACTGTGAGTGAACACTAGCCAAACTTCCATCATTTGCTTCTGTACAAAATTCTACTCCTACAAATGCCATCTATGTGTATCAACAATTATAAAGGCTGCATTATACAATATGTTAATTAAATTTTTTAAATGAATTATAATATAGATATTGTAAAGCATTTACATTGCAATATAACCTCACATGTCTAATTCATGCGTATATCTGTGCAAAATAATACAAAAAGATATTTTTATCTTACCTTATTGATGTTGAAATGCACTTTAATAATGTACAAACTTAAACACAATTTAAACTTCTTACTTAAATTTACTAAAAAATAACTTAAAACACATAATACACATGTGGCTTCTGCCTGCACGAGATACGAAAACGCTTGCCTTACACATGTGCTCGCCGCGCGGCAAGAAGGGACGCGGTATAAGCGGGAAGCTTGCTACCTAGCAAGCTGACATCAAAATGACGTCAAAATGACGTCATTTTGATGTTTAATAACGTCAGCTTGCTACCTGGGACTCTTGCATAACGCATAACAAATATGCATAAGGAATTCAACCAATCGAATTTCTTATGCGTATGCGTTATGCGCTTATGCAAGAGTGTGTGCTTGGGCCTAATAGTAATAATAAAGCCAATAAACTTTGCTCAAAAAGCAATACGTTGATTGGCTATCGTGTGTTACTTCTTAATTGCCGCGTGGCACCAAGGTAGCAAAATTCGTCATTTTGACGTCATTTAACATCAAATATACGTCAAAATAACTATAATTTAGTTTTTGGTTAATTGTCTTGTTAGCTGGGAAGGTCATCTATCGGACGGTGAAAGAAATTTTTTCTATAATTACTTTATGTCGATGAGGTCGGAAACTTTTCAAATGACCTTTGTATTTGAAAAAATATATATTCATAAATATTTATGAATTTTTATCATAAATATTGTGTGCTGTCTGGGTCATGTATAAAGTAATTTTACCGCGTGCACATATAAAGATATATTTTATTTATGTATAATAAATTCATAAAATACTTACTTCAATAAGTTGGTTTAAAGAATACATGCTATTAATAATAGCAGTTAATGTTGCAATTATGTTAATTTGTCTACAAAACAACAAATGTACAGATAAAGTTTGCATATATCATTAAGAATAGTACATATACATACATATATATATATATATATATATATATATATATGTATGTAGAATAATATTATTTTTTACCTAAGATTAATTCTTTCAAAGTTTTTTAATATATATGTTAGTACATCATTATTTGTTGCATGTTTTGCAATAATATTGAAGAAACTATTAATCAAATATATTTCAATTTGCCGATTTAGTTTACGCGAAGAAATACATGATGTGGGCTTAACATCATTGATTCGATCTAAATAGAAAATTATAATGATAGAGCTTTTAGTGCAGGGCAGAAATTTCCTAACGCAACTTTGTTTCAAAATTTATTAAATTTATCACGAATATGCGGAAATTATTAATAATAACCAGTCAATGTGATAAATTTATCACTTTAACCTTATAAGATTGAAGTTATTGGTTTGTATTAATAATGACCGGTAATCTATATATATAAGCACCATCCGTCTGTCTGTCTGTCTGTCTAACCGCGAACTACTTCCACATTTGTGGACTGATTTTCGTGAAACAGGTACCAAAATGTTGCAAATTTTTCGGGGATGGATATTATGTGGTTTTTTTTAAGTTTTACACTTTTACCCACGCACCCACCCACGCAGTTGCATATTTATGGACCGATTTTTTTCGAAATTGGTACTAAAATGTTGCAAATTTTTCGGGGAGTGTGACGATGTGGTTTTTTTTAAGTTTCCACCCATCCACGCACCCACCCACGCATTCACAAATTTATTGATCGATGTTTTAGAAATTGATAGTAAAATTTTCTAAATTTTTTAAGAATGGTGATGATATGGTTTTTTAATTTTTACACCCCTATTCACGCATCTACCCATGCATCACCTACGCACCCACCTACGCAATCGCGTAAATATTTATGGACTGATTTTTCGAAATTGGTACCAAAATTTTGCAAATATTTTAGGTAGTGTGACGATGTGGTTTTTTCTTAAGTTTTCACCCACCTTCGCACCCACCCACGCATTCACAAATTTATTGATCAATGTTTTAGAAATTGATATTAAAATTTTTAAACCCACGCACCTATATATATATATATATATATATATATATATATACCCATGCAATCACATTATTATGCGAATTTTTCTACGCATTCATACATTCACCGATTTTCTCGAAATCGGTCTCAGAGAGATCATCGTTAAGGGGGTTGTTTATTAACAATCGGCGCGATATTCAGCGATCAGCGGTGGGAACATCAGCAAAAAATAAAAATATTAATAATAAAAGATAAAAAAACATTTCGGTACATATTTCACGAAAATCAATCCATAAATGTGTAAGTAGTTCGCGATCAGACAGACATACAGACAGACTTAAAAAATTTAAAGATTACTTAAAAACCACATCGTCGCTCACCCCGAAAAATTTGCAACATTAAAGGAAATCCAAAATCTTTTATGACAAATGTTGTATAACAAAGAGTTTTTGTAAAATGAAAAATTGTGTGAAAACTAATAAGCAGGGTCAGTGTTGGGAAACTAGGCTTTGAGGCCCGCGCTTCGCGCGGGCCGAAAAGGCTAGTTATTATTAATAATTCTCAATTAATTACACTGACTGTAACATATACATATTACACACCGTACATTTTCAGAGTTTTTGTTAATGATGAAAATATTAAACATATTGAAAATTATATAATTTTAACCACAATATATGAATTTCCACATTGCTGTAAGTTGAATATTTCAGAATACATATTATGTTTTGTTTTCAATAAATAGATTGTTTCATTAATTTACACTTTTTCGTGTTGATAATCACTGCATTGTACAAAATAAATTTAAGTATAAATATCTTAAATATTGAAAAATTACCTAAGTATACCAGTTTTTAGATGTTGATTCAATTTACGATTGGCTTCTTTTTGACACGTTGTGCTTTCGAAAAAACATGCCCATTTTGCAGCCTCCTGTCTTAAGCATTTTGTAAGATCGGGTTCATTAGTTAAAGGATCTTCTTCGTATTTAAATTTTTCAAGCATTTAATATTTCCTGCATTTTTTCTTACAAATCATAAAATATATAAATTTAAATTAGTTTTTAGTATTAAAAATTGTTGTTATATATGTATACATAATTTTCTAATTTTAAATAAAAACTTTGATAATACGATAGGATTAGTATAATGTTGTTCTATATATAACAATTATTATATGAGTTTCTTATTAAAGCAATGATTTTACAAAAATTTTGTTAAATATAAAAAATGAACATATTAATGC